TTTGGAGACAGAGTCGCTCTTTATTGCCCAGGCTGGAGTGCAGTGGTGCAATCTTGGCTCACTGCAACCTCCACCTCCTGGGCTCAAGTGATTCTGCCGTCTCAGCCTCCCGAGTAGCTGGGACTACAGGTGCATACCACCATGCCCAGCTAATTTTTGCACTTTCAGTAGAGACAGGGTTTCACCATGTTGGCCAGGATGGTATCAATCTCTTGACCTCATGATCTGCCCCCCTCAGGCTCCCAAAGTGCTGGGATTACAGGCCTGTGCCACCATGCCTGGCCTGGTTGGAATTTTGACTCAACATGGGCCATTGTTGTAAACAGAAAAGTGCCAACAGGATGCCCCGGCCTCAGGCCCCAGCTCCGCACCCAGCCCCTCTATCAGCAGGGCAGGATCAGAGGCCGGCGCCTGGGGCTCAGGTGGGGCTCTGCGGGTGGTGCAGGCCTGGGGGCCTCCATCCTGGGGACTGTGAGCTCCTGGTTGTGAAGTGTTGTGTATTCTACCTTGGCCAGTGGCTCGTCCCCACCCCATGGGGACCCCATGTGGAGGGCTAAGGCCCCACCTGCAGCTCCCACATCAGGGGTGGCTCCCCAGAGCACCAGGCCCATGAGTGGAACCCTGTGTGGTCCTGGCTGTGCCCCAGGCCCCGTGTGCAGGAGGCCCTCAAGGAGCACGGCTGGGAGCCTCACGCTGCGCACAATTTATCCTCTGATGTTCGCCTCGCTCCGACACGTCCCGGCTTGCGTGAACCTTGACTGCTGCCTATCAACAAAGACTTTCTTCTTGCCAGTCTAGGTTGGTAAAAAACGAGATGCCCTACCTCCTCTGGACCATCAAGAGGGACGTCATTGACCATCACAACCTGACCTGTGGCCAGATGCTGAACCACTACGCCAAGACCGCCTCCTTCACCACCAAGGTGAGCTGCTGCTGAGGGTGGCCGGGGACTGGCAGGAGCCGGCAAGGGTGGGGGAGGGGCCTCTGCAGCCACTAGGGACCCTTGGTGGCTGGTCAGTGGCCATGGGTGGCCATAGGTGGCCACCACTCACCTCCTGGGTGCCTCCCAGGACTCCTGGCCTAACACCATGGCCAGAATCACTCAGTGCCCACCCCACCCCTAGCACCCCTGGGCCCTATGCTCTGTGTCTCTGGGTGAATCTGGGGCCTCGGGGCAGAGGCCAAGCCAAAGATGGGGCTGAGTGGGAGCTGCCACCGGGCTTTGGGCCCTGAAGGGGCTGTGAGTCCCCAGGGGCAGGGGTGTGGCCTTCCACTGTGGGGGTCCCTGACTGGGAATGTACGTCACTGGGCACTTTCCCGCCTCCCCCGTCCCTGGCCCTGCACAAGGCAGCTGCCACACCTTTCCAACAAGGCCCAGGGTTGGGGCCCGGCCAGGACGCAGGGTGTGGGGACCCTGCTGAGGGAGGGGTAGGGCAGAGGGGCTTTCCTGGCACAGGGGCCCAGTCAGCAGGCCAGGTGTGGCTGCCTCAGCACAGCGTATGGGGCAGGTGCGGGGTATAAGGTGACCTTCTGCACCTGCCACCCCAAGGCCTCCTCCGGGTCAGGCCAGGGCCGGCCCTGCTGGTGGAAACATGGCCTCTGCAAAGACCCTGTGTGCAGAGCCTGGCCTGGGGCCCTGAGGGGCTGAGAGACTGGAGACGGGGAGGGGGAGGGGTCTTCCCCAGGGGTGCCCTGTGGTGCCCCGCGGTCAGGCGAGTCTGAGGTGGATGGCAAGTCCCGCCTTTCGAGCGACAGGGAGCGGAGCTGCCCCTTGGGCCTAATGAGCCGCTGTCTCTGGAGATCAGGCTGTGCGTGACCCTGAGTAGCCTGCCATGGTACATCCCGGCGAACCCCGACTCCTACCCACGCTGCTACAGCCTCTGCGCCGACAGCGAGCAGCAGGAGGACGTGGCCCTGGGGCACAGCCAGCACCCCAGCTCAGCACCTCTGGTCCCCTGGCAAGGGCTCGTCTGGAAACTTCCGTGGGCAACCTCGGAAGGGGGAGGGGCACTGCGGCTGTGGAGTGGGTGTTGGTCAGGGAGGGCAAGGGAGGCCCTGCTGGTTTGTGCCAGCTCAGAGTGGCGCTGCTCATCTTGGCCAGGCTGGGCATGGTCACCTTGCTGCTCAGCACCCGGCCTGCAGGCCCCATGTGATGCATGCTCTGCCTTCTGAGACACAGCAATGCGTGGGATGGGGCAGAGGGCCCAGTGCTGTCAGCAGAAAGGCTTCTAGAAAGATCCCCGTGGCACGGAGACAGATTGATGGGGCCAGGTCTGAGGACAGAGGACAGAGGCTGTAGTCATGGCAGTGCAGGGGCCAGGGGTACAGGGTGGGGGGAGGGCAGGCAGTCACGGAGTGTGTGGCCCTGCCTCTGGGCCTGGGGACAGTGAGTGAGCCACTGGGGTGAGGCTGGCTCCATGGTTGGAGGCCAAGGGGTGCAGCTGGACAGCTGCAGTCACAGAGGTGCTGGGGGGAGAAGGGCAGGCAGCGTGGGCTGTGGGAGCAGGCCTGGCCTCCACCAACTGTGAGGGCAAGAAGTGGGGTGGATATGGGAGCCTCTGAGGCCCTGGCCCCCCAACTCCAGTCCCCAGCCTAGGCTCAGGTGGAGGGTGAGGCCATGCTGTCCTTCAGTTCCAGCTTGAGCAGAGGATGAGGCTGTGCTGTCCTTCCAGATGACTTCCAGCATACCATGGCATCCAGCATCCTCAAGGGGGTGGTCAGTCACCAGACCTGTGGCAGGAGCAAGCCCAGGGCCCAGGTGGAGGAGGCCGAGAGCAGCGAGCTGAGCAGCAGGACAGGTGTGTTGGGCGTGGGGCCGGGGCCGCCAGAGCTGGGGGCCTCCGCGGGGGCCCTCCTGCCTCCTGGGCACGATCAGTCTCAAGGGTCTGAGCAGCCGGGACCAGATGCAGCCATGCCTCAGACTCTCGATTCTCATAGCAAATGGGTTTCCTGATCTGACGGCGGGGCTAAACACCGAAGTCGCCCGGTTTGCGAAGCACCTGGCAGTTAACACAGCCCTGGGATATCCGAGTCCCATGCTCACCACCACGGTTCTGTGCCATGGACGTGGTTCCAGCCTGTGGTCGCACCCCATGGCCACCCTGATGCCACAGCCCGAGTCTCCCCAGAAAGGCCCTGTGGGAGAGAATGCAGGAAGAGGTGCCCCAGGTGGTGCAGGCACATGAGCCAGCCATTGTGGTTTTGGACAAAATCCAAATCTTTCTGTGACTTTAATAAAATGTGATTTCTAGAGCAGTTTTAGGTTCACAGCACCACTGAGCAGAGGCCCAGGATTTGCCACGTGCCTCCCCTGCTGTCGACACCTCCCCAGAGTGGTGCGTTCACTGCAACTGCTGACAGATGAACATGAGTGCATTAGACTTTTAGTGTGTATTTGTGCCAATCAGATGGCTGCAGGGCTCCACCGAGGGAAAAGCTCCTCTAGGTAAACGTGGAAGTGGACGAAACAAATCCTGATTGCTGAATGCTGGGGCAGTGGCCTCATCTGTGCTGACTGCGAACTTTGCCCAGCGGGCTGCCTGTGACTGGCTGTGCTCAGGTTTCGCTTTCAATTCTGAGTTAGGTTTTGGCTTGCTTATGTTGGACATGAGGCCACTTGGGCCACCTCAGTCTGATGGCCTCCTAATTAATGATTTGGTTTTTATTTTGAGATGGAGTCTCACTCTGTCACCCAGGTGGAGTGCAAAATGGTGTGATCTTGGCTTACTGCAACCTCCGCCTCCCTGGTTCAAGTGATTCTCCTGCCTCAGCCTCCTGAGTAGCTGGGATTACAGACACACGACACCACACCTGGCTTATTTTTTGTATTTTTAGTAGAGATGGGGTTTCACCATGTTGGCCAGGCTGATCTCGAACTCCTGACCTCAAGTGATCCACCCACATTGGCCGCCCACAGTGCTGGGATTACAGGCTTGAGCCACTGCACCTGGCCTAATTAATAATTTTAACACAGTTGATGAACTTACATTGACACATCATGGTAACCCAAATGGTTTTATACATCCTGCAGGTTTGGACAAATGTATGATGATGTGTATCCACCATTCCAGCATCAGGCAGAGAAGATCCCCCACATGGCCCTTCACAAGGCCTTTGCCTGGTGTGGCCTCACAGGGTGGAGTTTCCAGGTGTCTGTCTATCGGCAGAACAAACATCCTTGGTGACCCCCAGCCCTTTCCCGCCAGGCCAGCCCCGGACCATCCCAGAGTGGAGCCTGCTTGGTGGGCGAGGTGGGCCCCAGCCTCGGAGTCTCATGCACTTTCTGGATCTTGCTTTGTAGTGGTGATGCTTTCATCTCCAATTCGAGAAATTACTTTCCACAGTGCCAGGCTCTGCTGAATAAAATCACCTCCGTGAACCCTCAGACAGACATCGACGGGCTGCGGAACATCTGGATTATAAAGCCTGCGGCCAAGTCCCTGGGCTGAGATGAGTTTGCTGGTGTGGGTGCCACCTGGACCGCATTCGCAGCTACTGATGGCCGCACTTGATGCCAGCTGCCATGAGCGAGGGACAGTCTTAGGCCCATGCACCATGGGGAAGGAAGTGTGGGGGCAGAATGCCGAGGCAGCATGGGGCTCAGTCTCACCGGCACTGGAGCAGTCTTGGACGAAGAGGCATCTTCACAGCTTGTGTTCAATTCACAAGGCTGGGTTCTGGTGGACGAATTAGATTCCCTCCTTTGTATTCACAAACTGGTCTATGGTTTTCTTTTTATTATTATTTTTTTTATTCAAGATGGAGTTTCACTTTTGTTGTCCAGGCTGGAGTGCAGTGGTACAATGTCGCCTCACTGCAACCTCCACCTCTCAGGTTCAAACAATTATCCTGCCTCAGCCTCCCGAGTAGCTGGGACTACAGGCGCTCACCACACCCAACTAATTTTTTTGTATTTTTAGTAGATACGAAGTTTCACCATGTTGGCCAGGCTGGTCTCGAACTCCTGACCTCAAGTGATTCACCTGCCTCGGCCTCTCAAAGTGCTGGGATGATGTGCATGACGCCCCTATGCCCAGCGTTTGGTTTTGGTTTTAATATTGCCATGATTGCCCTCTTGGTATCACGAGTATGCTAGCCTCTAAAATGGATGAAGGACTTTCATCCCAATTAACAATGGAATTCCTAGTTCTTGAATTTATTATAAAACTCACCTGTAAATACCAGACTCTAGGAGGTAGATTCTTAATACCTTTTACACTTTGTCTGTGGTTTTCTACATCTTGACTGTAGCTGTGACTATGTTCTCTTTTCTATTCCCACTGGTGAGTACTGTGTGTCCTATTAAAAAAAAAAAAAACAGGCCGGGTGTGGTGGCTCACACCTGTAATCCAAGCACTTTGGAGGCCAAGGCGGGTGGATCACCTGAAGTTGGGAGTTCAAGACCAGCCTGACCAACATGGTGAAACTCCGTCTTTAAAAAATTAAAATTAAAATTAAAATTAAAAATTAAAAAAAAAAACAGGACTTCCTAGTGGTCTATTCTTATTCCTGTTTCCAAAGAACCAATATCTGGTTGCATTTGTCAATTTTCCCAAGAGATTTTCCCCCCTATCTTTAACTTAGATGCTAAGTTCATTTATTTTCATTTGTTATGCAATAATAAAAGCTTTAAGGCTATGAAATTTCCTCTGAATGTAGCTTAAGCTGCATCATCTTGTTTATGTTACATAATGTTCTCATTTTTCTTCATATCTAAATGGATGTTACTTTTAGCTTGGTTTTGTCTGCCTTGAGTTATTTTGAAGAGTTTT